GGAAAAAGTTGTGAAGCAAAAGAAGCTAACCCAATCAAGGGCCACAAAGAAGACATTCATATGTACTTCAACCAGATCGCGTCATCCATCTAGTGAAGAATCCCAGTAACAGCGTTCATTTCAGTTCAATATCTCATTGTTCTTGATAGTCAACCCTTCATCACAAGGCCAAATGAACGAAGGTCAAGGCCACGAGGAGGAATGAGTTAGAGGTACACGTCGAAGGAAAAGTTCATCGACAGAGAGCCAAGGGGACGTGTGGCAGCCACGTGGGTATGTGCTGCGCTTTGGTTTGGCTTGTGGAAGACTCAATGCCCAAGTATGAAAGCAGCTCATTACATGCAAGGAAATACAAGCAAACCCGTCATCCTCTCTTCTTCTTGCTCAGTGCAGTGTGTCTTACACAAAGGTTAACGAAGAGGACATGTGTTTCACAAAGCTCCTAGCTTATAACTCTAGGGTAGAGTGTGACTGAACTGAAGAACCGCAAAAGAGACTCAGCTACTGTAGTGGGAAAAAATATTTGTAAACTTGAAGACTTGCAGGAAGCTCCTAGTAACCTTCATCTGGGAGGAGCTGTTTATGTGATGGAAATATCTGAACTTGGGGATCGATGAACGTGAGCATCGGTAGGGTGGATAATGTGATTATAATAAGCATGAATGAGAATCCGTTATAACTGTCTGTCGGAGTTGGATCAACTGGCATGATCAGTGTTATCTTCCTAGAGCAGTTGTTGCACATCGATCAGGTGGGAACATCCATTTTACGAGACAATGAAGCTCCTAGTGGTATTTTGGATCTCTTCCTCTGTAAACATCCTACATCGATAAGCGGATGAGATACCTGAACACTAATTCGACCTCTGTGCTGTTTTTTTAATGCTCCCTCCCTCATTGTATTGATCTCTTACAATCCGAAGACCTTGGCGTAAGTTAGCGATGCACTGTACATTTCTTCCGACCATACCGTAAGCTTGAAAGAAGATAAAGTGAGTCTAAAAGGCCGATACATCATCAGATTTTGAGTATCAAATGATGTTTCAGTTATCTTTCTGGAGTCTGACCAGATTACAGTAACCGTGGCACGTGAAAGGATGATATTGGGCAGCAGTTGAACGGTATTGATCAGGTGTTCAAGTTAATTGATCGAATGCTAGCATCGAACCAGTCTCGTCGAGGTCTATACTGTCTGTGTGTGTGGAGGCCATGTTTGTCTGCTACTGTTCGACAAAGGCCTCACGGAGCCAGCGACAGCAATGTGCAGATGTTAATCAGAGCAGGAAAACAGTGAGGACTAGTCCTCGGATGTCTACCTCTCCAGATGAAGACACAGCGAATGCACACTGGACGATCAGTAGAGCCTGGGCAACTGGACACATGATCGTCCTTAGTCAGGAGCTGTTGTGGCAGTGATCCAGATTAGCCTACATCCAGAACGCTGGATATGCTCGGTGCCACATGGAGGGCCTTCAAAGTACCTCCTGACTAAGGGAACGTCGTTCGTATATCAGAATGAGGACTCATTCTTTTACCAGGAGACGTCCTCCGAATCATTTCATCTGAGAATTTGGGTGGTTGGAAAGACTGAATGCCGGCATAACTGCCATGCTGGACAGCTTACACCAGACTTGGTTGCCAAAGGCTCAAGTTGCCAAAGGTGGGCAAAAGCCTAATTTCCATGAGTCTCCCTCCATTCATGATGACTCTGCAGATGAGAAAATATGATTGGAGCTTCTATTCCTTGCCATCCTCGGCGTATAATTTGCAAATATTTTCAAAGGTTGGTGTTATACCAAGGTGGAAAGTCATGGCCCAGTGAATCTTTGTTCCCCTCGCAACTGTGGACCAAAAGGCTCATCATATCCACTCATCTTGGGCTTGCATGGCTTCCACCTAATAAATCTAAACATTGTTCCTCCTACATAAGTCATGATCTTCTGAAATCAATGACACTTTCATTCTTTACTTCGAAGAAGATTCAGTGACAGAGGGCCAGATACTTCACAAACAGGAACAAAACTGCTCGGACCTCGGCAGCCCCAAGGTGAGAATCACCGGTAGAAGAACAACGAGTCGCAGATTAAAAAGTGGGGTAAAAAGTCTCGAGGCTTGATCTGCGACTAATCTCTCCGATGCACGTTTCTCTGATCCCTTCAGATTCATTTATAAAACGAAGGTGCCGAAGTTTGTGAGATTGTCCTGAATCTCGCGAGCTTGATGCATCACTTCATCTGCCCACATCAGGTAGTTAAGATCAACCTTCCTCCCTGTGTACTTGACCGCGAGGACATCATGATCAAGTTCAAGTCTTGCGTCAAATTCCTCAGAGTCAACCTCTCATTGGAAAAGGACAACGTAGTCCCTCTTTTCCTTTTTCTACCCTATCAATCAAATAGTTTTCCTTAGATCAAAGTACCTCCGAACAGAGGTCTTTTGGGACTTGAATAGAAGTTGTTCCTCCATCCTGGTGCCTGAAAAGCATGCATGTAACTTTTGGACGACGAGCATCAGAGTATCCCCTAGACCTTGCTTATTCGCAGCCTTCATTCGTGAAGCACACCTTTGTGGAGTCAGATACGTTAAATGCTGAATTGAGCACCAAAACTACTCCCATCACCTGATCCACGACTTCCTCAGTCAAACCTCATATTTATAACCAAATCCTCAAGCAAGCTGACAGTCTGTATTCATGGATATACGAAATCTCGTATATCCATGATCTATTGGACAGAGATTTTCTGTGCTTCGTAGTGGACACTCTTAACCCGAAGACCCGAGGTCAATATCATAAATGTAAGGATGACGTGCTTCCGTTCGCCATATGTTGGGTTTGTCATATCAAAGATATTCTGCTGTCTTTTATTTTCCCAAAATTCATTTGTTGCTCACTTCTCTTGTGAAGTCATGATATTTTCTTGCTTCGAGTTGATATATATCACTGCCTATTTCATATTTAATATCGTACTACATTAGCGGCTTCACATATCATTCTCTATTATCATAAATTCGTTGGCACCTTTTCAAACGGCCGGGATATCTGATGACACCTCTAATGTGTGTGTGTATATATATATATAGAGAGAGAGAGCTTCATATGCACTTGGGAAATAATCTCCACAATAATGCGATCATTAAAAGGTGAAGCTCTCATTCTTAAGGTTCAAAATTGGTTTGCTAATTTCGTTAGCCGTATATGCTGCTCTGTTCAGTACGGACGGGTGGACATAGAAATGATCATAACTACGATCTTTGTCCAACATAAGAAAGTAAAGGGACGGGGGAACATCCCATCAAGCTTCATATGGATGAGAGCAAACCATAAACATGAGGCTAATCCAAGATAGCAATCACAATATGATATACTTGAATGAGCGTATGCAAATTATCAAGATCATGTTTTCTTCTTTTCCTGGTTGCAATAATACGAGCATACGAAGAAACATCACGTTGCTCAATGAAAGATCTATTTTGAATAGGATCTTCTTGTTGCTTAATGTAGGAAAGCCTGATACACTCTCTCAAGTTTATCTCGACGTCATGTTTGAACCTCTCCATAAATTGAAATATAAATTAAAATAGAGTTTAACTTTGTACGTAGCCATTTACTCGAGAAACCTTGAGGGTTGCTGCTTCATTTTCTAGCCATATGAAAATACAAAATAATTCTTCTTTTGATACTTGGTCATGTCGAGGATCGATAATCAGAATTGCAACATAAAAGTTATACTCATGAATCAAGCATCAACTCACACACGCACACATTGTTACTGGAGATAGTCAATCACAAAACATATCAACAGTCTCTCTCTAGAGATGAAATATAGTTGTGTGATAACAACAATGACATTTGAGAATTATTCATGGATAAATATCGACATTCATCTCAGTAGTTTTCAAGTCAGAAGACAGATTTCATCATGAAACAAAAACATGAACGTGAAGCTAAGTGAAACGAAATTCATGCCAAAAGAAAAAAATGTACACCTTTTTCTTTAAGGAACCAAATAATATATGTTCTATATATAGAAAGGGAAATATAATCTCAAAATGAGAATGAAAACTAGAAATTGACTAGATGCTAGTTACTCTCTGATCAAAATATATCTACAATACCAAGGAAGAAATTGATGTATCGTGTATCATGAAGTAGTAAATTCAGAGTCGATACCTTTTCCACTTGGTAATTCCAAGTGGTCTGATACTAAATTGTATGTATCTCTTATGGATAGATACCCATGTGGGAAAGAAGTAACAACTCATGCCTTTGGTCAACTTCACGAGGAAGAGTGATGCTATAGCTATGACAAAGACAACAGAATATAAATACGTGACATATCATCATTAATCTACTATCACTTGCAAAACCACAAGCAATCACATCCATGCCACCTCAATTCACATGGGAGATAGCAACTATGAAAAACCGTAAAACTATAAAACTCCCTGTTCAGACGTACATAATCTTCAGGCTTTGTTCCAGTAGAGCCCAGTAAGAACAAGAGATAAGACTGACAGTAACTTCCAAAGGATACCAGGGAGAGTCGAAAATGATTAATGATCTAGAGCAGAAAAGTTAAAAGGAGGTGAAGGAGCAATGGGAGGACCAGCGAGAGGAGGATGTCATGATCCTGAAGGGAGTTAGTAGACTGCTAGGCCAAAACAAAGAGCACAATATAATCACACTCCTCGTACTTTTGGCATTGATGGCGACGAAATCCCGATCGGAGCCTGGAATTTCGATTCAGATTCCACCAGTTTTGGCAAAGGAATCCAACGACCACTGCATACTGCGCTATATCGGGAAGGTGAACGGGAGGACCCGATAAATTAGAGGGCCGCCAGATAGGCCAGGCGATGGAGGCAGTTTTGGTGAAGTGTCGAGAAGCAGTGAGTAGTTAGCAGTGAGCCTCAAAAGGGGGCGAATATACGCTCGTACAAGAACATGCCACTGTACCAGAGCATCTGGAATCTACGACCCGGTCTCGCCGTTTGAATCTCATGCTGTCGCCCTGCCCTGCCCCTCCCCTCCCCGGAAACCTGCCCAATAGTAAGTCACAGATATTTTATTTTTTTAGTATATTATGGTCGATTTGGTAGATCAGAGATTCGTCTGGTTTGGCTGCTGGATAGAAGAAGAATAGAATATCGCGAACGCAAATTCGCCCTCGCGGCAACGACGACGACGACATCGACATCATCAGCAGCAGCAGCATCATCGCCACGCCCCCACTGTTCAAAACAACGCTCAGATGAAGATCTTTGTTGCGGGGAAAGCCCAGAAAATTTAGCTCCCGAATGTCCACCGGAACGGATTCCTCCGCTTTCCGCTTTCAGGTTTCAGCATTTTATTGTTTATTTTCAATTCTGCTCATTTCCGAAGCCCTTTCGGCTCCGATCCCGGTCTGGCGGCAAGCCAATGCGGACGGTTGACGCGACGGGAGCCCGGCAGGGCCGGTCAAAGGCGGGGCGACCTGGAAGTGTCTGAAAAAGGAGGACGGGCGACGAGGATGGGTTGCCGGAAGCGGAGGTCACAAGGCGATAGGGCAGCTTGTCCAGAAGCATCGCTTTTCGGCTATTGCGGGCAGCGATGAAGAATGATATCGCCGGGCGCCATGATAATTGCGATTAGAGGAATGTTGGCCGGGAATAGGCGGTAAACCATGCGTTGCCCATCCTGGGAGCGGATATTTTAAGGGGGCGAGCGCGGACTGTGTCATCCGCATCTCGCAGCGCGACCCGACTGTTGCTATCTTACTGTTCTGGTAGCCCATGGAAGTCAGCCAACACCGCAATCCAGCCTGCCCCTCGCCCGCGGATGGAGATCCAAAATGCGCGGGGCAGGCGTTTTTACGGCTCGCCTGCCCTGCACATCATTAGCAACAACTGTCTCCTCAACTGTGTCGCGAAGCCCCTTTGCCGTCTGCCCCCGCCTGCTGCTTCTGCGGCCCATGATTCCTGCCTCGGGCCAAATCCACATCTTCTGGCCCATGTACGAGAGTGGCCATGCGTGACATGGACGGAGGTTGTTGTCGCGGGGGGACAGCGGGTGCTTTTTTTCCCTTTTAAATTTATACATTTTTACGGGGGCAGAGCGATTGCACGTCGGGATCGAGAGTCCGAGATGAGATGAAGAACATGTGCGCGAGACGGAGGAGGTTGTTCGGGCAGTTCCTGCTCTTGTAACGAAGGGCGAGGAGGAAGACAAGCTGGCCGGGAGAGAGGGAAGAGTGGGCAGGCAGGCAGGCAGGCGAGCGAGCGGGCGGGCAGGCAGGCAGGCAGGGAGGGAGGGACGGGGCGGGGCCGCGAGACGAGGGAGTGGGGGGACGGACGACAGTGAAGTGCACTGGAGTGGGGGAAGGAGGCACGCAGCGGGCGGACAAGAGAGCAGAGTTTGGTCGCCCCGGCTCGCCTCGCCTCGCCCCGCCTGGCGTCTCGTCCCCATGCCTTTCAGCTCGTGAAGAAGAGGAGGCAATAGGAAGAAGACGGAAGAGAGAGAGAGCATCGACAGCAGGCCGAGGAAGAAGAGGGAGAGGAAGAGGAGGAGGAGGCGGAGCAGAGCCTCGCCCCGGCACTCGTCGTCGGAAGGACAGGCAGGCAGAAGGAAGGAAGGAAGGCAGGCAGGAAGAGAGAAGTGGCGAGGGGAGGGAGAGGAGAGGCTCGAGAGTCGACAGGCGGAGGACAGGAGGAGCAGACGGACCTCTCGCTCGACGAGAGCCGGGAGGGTCCGGGGCCGAGTCAGCGGACGAGGACGAGCATGTAGAGCAAGAGAGTGCGACGAGAAGAGAATTATGGTGAGGAGGGGGTGTGGTTGATACTAACCCATAGGACGAGCGAGCGAAGAAAGCACGAGGGTCGGCGAGGCGAGGGCGAGGCGAGGCGAGACGAGACGAAGCGGAAGAAATCGTCGAGGTCGTGTTTGCAGGAGACGCCCGACAACATTCGATGACGAGGTGGAGGTGAGGAGGAGGGAGACGCCGAACGAGGCTCAGAGGGCGAGGGAGAGTGAGAGAGAAAGAGAGCCCGAGGCGGAGAGCGACGCGGGGAGAGAGCGAGAAAGAGAGGGAGAGGGAGAGGGAAAGAGAGTCTCCTGAGATTGATTGTTTCTCGGGGAGCCGCGAGGGAGGGGGAGGGCGTATGACGACGGAAGGGAGGGCAAGAGGAGGAGAGGAGCATGGAAGTGGACGGGAAGGATGCTGCCGGAGGAGGGAGAGGAGGCGGGTGTGAATCGATTTCGTCGGATGGAGGAGGTGTTACTGGCGGATTGAGTTTGGAGTTGGTGGGCAAGGGAAAAGCAGGTCCTGGAGGCGGAGGCGGAGTGGGACTTTTGCCCAAGGGACTGGGGAATGGACTCATCGGCGCAGTGGCAGCAGCAGGAGGCGGAGCGGTCAGTGACGAAGAGGACCCGAGTTTTGAAGGCGATGGAGGCGAGGGTGGGCAGCACGGAGGGGGTAGAAACAAGAAGACTTCGCCTTGGCAGCGGATGAAGTGGACGGATTCCATGGTCAAGCTGCTCATAGGAGTGGTTTTGTTCGTGGGCGAGGACAGTAGTTTAGATGGCAGCGGCGAAGGGAACAAGAGGAAATCGGGGATTCTGCAGAAAAAGGGCAAGTGGAAATCGGTGTCGAAAGTAATGATGGAGAAAGGGTGCTATGTGTCCCCGCAGCAGTGCGAGGACAAGTTCAATGACCTAAACAAGAGGTACAAGAGACTGAATGACATTCTTGGCAAGAATACGGCGTGCAATGTAGTTGAGAACCCGAGCACGCTGGATGCCATGACCAACCTCCTCCCCAAGGCCAAGGAGGATGTCAAAAAAATCCTCAGCTCGAAGCACCTGTTTTACAAAGAAATGGCTTTCTACCACAGCGGCAACAAAGCCGCGCTCTCCACTGATCTGGAATTCCAGCCTTCCCTCCAAGCTGTCATGCTACAGGGCAGGGAACTCATGGAGTCGGGAAGGCACATGAAAGACGATATGGACGAGGATGACGACGACGATGACGATGACGACGACGTGGACGACGAGTTCGACATCGCTGACGGCGTCGAAGAAGATGGGGACACAATTGCCGACCTGTCTGATCCTTACGGGAAGCGGAGAAAATTGTCGAAGAAGTTAGAAGAGGTGGAATTGGGGATGGCTGCATCGGGCTTGCATGATTATGGGAAAGACATGAACGGGGTGGAGATTGTGAATACGGACATAATGAATGTCCTGCATGAAAGCTCCAAGGCATCTCGAGAACACCAGCAATGGATGAGAAACCGGACCATGCAGTTGGAGGAGCAGAAAGTTGGCCTTCAAGCTGAGGCTTTCAATCTGGAGAAGCAAAGGTTTAAGTGGCAAAAGTTCAGCTGCAAAAAGGACCGAGAGTTAGAGAGATTGAGACTGGAGAATGAGAGGATGAAGCTTGAGAACGAAAGGATTCAGCTTGAGATTAAACAGAAAGAGCTCGAAATGGATAACAAACGATCGGAGGCGTCCATGACATCGATTGCACTCATTTTGGATAGGCTGCAGGCGAGGGAGCAAAACGACCTAGGAAGAGGACAATGTGTGCAATGATTGAGCTAGCCGCACGGCGCGCATAGCACTGGCTTTCTCTACTTAGGTGGTTATGATCTTGTATTGTACATTTACACACTTGACAATCATTTGTGAGTCTGCTCCACCCTGCAACCCATTCAAAGTCGAAACAGGTATAGGTTGCTCTGCCTTTCCGGTCCGACTCTTGGGGTGTTACTTATTTGGTTTTGTCCTGCCAACCAGCAGTTAGAATCTCACAGGGCTACCAGTATATCATAAACTCATCAGGGCCGTTTAGGAAGTCGTCAGGGCCGCTGCAATCTGCCTCCGCGGCCCTGAAGTCTTCAGCGGCCCTGAAGTCTTCAGCGGGACGAACACTATTAGGATTTTGAAGCGAAGCTGCAGCTGCCCTATCCTTTTTCTTCTTCTTTTTGCATGATCGTATTACCCCTTCCCACAATTAGAGATTACAGACACCTGGAGACAGAAAGACTATACGATCAGGCACCACTTGCTTATCAAGCATAATTTTCTCGGAATGCTCGATAATACTGGTCCGTTAGGTAGTCCATCTTAGAGCAGAGAGTGGGTTCTGGACATTGTATGTATCTCTAGGCACTTAGACGGGATGGAGTTCTGTGTTGTAGGAGTCTTGTCTTTCTAGTTCACATTACGGCAAAGAATCTAAAGGACTAGGACGAGAGGGTATCGTTTAAGCTAGCCAGAGTGTTCATCACACCAATCTTCCTATCATAATGTCGATATTGACTGTACAGAGACGTACTTAAGTACAAATTAAATGTCTGTTTTATGTTCCAGCACCTTGAGTTCTTTTCTGCTTCTGGGTCTTGGATGGTGGTTTTCTGTGTCGTGGTGATTTTGGCTCGTTTTTGTAGGATCTGGTCTACAATTGCTTCCTTATTCGTCATACAGGAGGAGCTTCTGTTCATGACCTGAACATATCGGCGAGGACTGCTTCTTTCACGAGTGTCGACGTTGTTTAAGAAATCTGTATCACGGACATTAGTCAATCAGAAGTCTTCACAAGATTACCGAGTATTCTCCTTCGTTTTCTGTCCGGTACAGTTAAATGAATTCTCTAATCTAGTATAAATATCTAGCTTCAATATACGAAGATTTGGTTGCCTTTACTTTTACTCAGTTCCTTTAATTAAGTTGCGATAGAGGCCCTCATTATTTAGAGCCATTTATAGTTTCCGAGAAAAGCAATTTATTACAAGAAGCTGACACCCCCTATTTTTTCTATCCAATTATATAGATCGGAGCCTTGGTTATGTCTTTAGTGAGTGCAGTGTTTTACAGTAATTACTTTGACTTGATGATAATCTTAGAAGATGAGGGTCTGCTATTACATAAGTAATTTGCTGTCAGATTAAGTGAACTGTCTATCAGAGTGGCTTACGTGGCGATTGCTGATAAAATGTGAGAACATTTTTAATGAACTGATTGCAGAATGTTTGAGAAGATGATTGTCGTATCTTCCTACTCAGGCTCGCAATGAGATTGTCGCACTCGGTGGCCTTTCTGTGTATTCTGATCTGCCTGTTCATCTTAGTGTTGTGATCAATCTGTAGCCTACTGTATGTTGGGTAATCAGTCATTGTACATATTATTAGTTTCCTTTCACGTCAGATTGTGGCATCTGAGCTGGAGCTTCAGATCAGTTAGTAAAGCTAACACTATGGATGTATAAGTTGGCAATTGATCATATTGTCTAAACCAAGCCATCCATCCATCCATCCATCCATGCAGACCGTCAAATTTTGAGTTATTTTGGTTCTAGGAGGTACAATTTCGGTGGTTGCCTTTTAAGTTACTCTCACGGAGAACTGTCAACTTTGTTCCAATTACGACAGTCAAACGATGGTGTCTAGCATTTTCATGACATTTTAGGTTTCACCTTCACCGGAGAGAAGCCGGTTTGTGTGCCTTTGGGTCTTTTACTCAATAAATCTCTTGGTGCATGCTACGTCAAGTGCGGATCACGGGCGACTATCGTGTACTCTTCTTTGCATATCTGTACCTGTTCAAAATCTTATTGTTTTATAAAATCTCGGACCTGAGTATGTCTCGGTTGGCAAACTGGTTCAACCTTGTTCTCAATCTTCCTGTCTTCTTGCATTAGTAGTTGCAATACAGGGCTTTTGCCTAATCAATCAAGACGCAAAATTAATGGAAACAGTGAATAGCCTTGCCTTCTCAGTAGTGCCGATGGCAGTTCTTTGGTTTCTTGATCAGACAGCCTAGTATCACATCTCCCTCTGTTACAGCTGTCTTTGTGGAAGAAATTCTACACGAGGCGGATAAGTACAATTTGTGTATAAGTTTTCTATTCTGCTCTGCGATGCTCAGTGATATACATGCATTTATAAATGATTCCAAGTATGTGACCAGGAGGTGGAGATATCACGTAGGGCCCAATGTGTATCATTTAATATTATCACTTGGCTTTATGAAAGGTATTGGGCTTGAAAAAAATTCTCAACTTCTGAGCAATCTTATCTTGGATGTGCACTGTGTTTTATGATCCGATCTTAGTTGGACTTCATCGCCGTCGCGCGATTTATGGTTCGAAGAAGGGTCTTTCTCCGGAAATATCTAGAGCTGGAACTGGAAGATATTGCATGCGCAAGTAATACCCTGTGTATTGTCCCTGTACACCGAAAGCACTAAAAACCTGTTACTGGCCAATTTGACAAAATATTACCTCTGCTGCCCGCGGAGATAGAGACCAAGCCACGAAGCAAAACCAGGCAACAGGAAGAGAGAGTGGAAGGACTGCAACGAACGTAGGTTTTAGGACCAGCAAATGTACTGCGAAACAAAGAAACGTTTGTAGGAACCTTATGAGATGGAATCGAACTGCTCTCAAATCTCTATACCTCAATTTGAACGTAAGGTACATGAGGACAAAACTGATCTGAATATAACCGCTGATCCAGTCCTATTAGTCAATCCTGCCGTGTTTGTGTCACACATCTGGTCATTGGAGGTCTCATCCGTTCTATGTTTTTGGAACTACGGGAGACTTCAAATATCTTCCGTCTTGTCTGGCTCCAACTCCACTGGATTGGTCATATCACTGACAAGACTCGTCGTCAGAACGAAGATCCAGATAATGTCCAGGTATTTTCCAGAGAAGTAAACAGCAGCTCGCTTTGGTTCTCACAGGTTGTGAGCTTTTGTTCTCTCAATTTTTTTATGGCTTTGAGCCATGAGGTTCCTGTTCCATGTGTCTCCCCTTGCGGTTCCAGACCACGCTGACTCTTCATTGTGTGACGTAATCGAAGGAATAGAAATTTATACTGCTCAAAGGAATAGAAACAAATGAGTGTACTTTGCAATAGCCCATCGCAGAATTCACAACGGAGTGTGGATCAGCAGTTAAGCCATCGTAAGTTGTGTGGATTCATAGATGACGCATTCTCCTTTCCTTGCGGAAGTCCTCGATAAGTTCTCAATCGTCTGTCTCTGCTGGAAGGTATACATCTGGCTCACATATGCTTCTCGCTTCGTAAATCTCCTAGATAACGTGGCGTCGTACCGAGCACTTGAAGATCCAGAACATCAGCCTACACGGGTGTTGGTGAGTTTCAGGGAGAGCCTCCTTGCACGAATACAGCTCCATCGGACAATGGCTGTCGAGGATTGCGTGCTGCTGACTCAGATGGATAGTCTCCGACAGTTGTTATTCGAAATAACCTGGGCCCATTGTACCCGAACCAGCGGGATAGACTGAAAACACCGTTTGATTTGGGTGGCAGAAACCGCCTGAAAAACATACAGGGCAAACTCTCAGCGGCCACCAATGTGGTCTCGAATCTATCCAGCAGGGAACATGCTGATTTTACCAGCACGATGCGCAAAGAATGGAATGGACCTACAGCTGCGCTGCAATTGTGTGGGCGAGGGCTTCCCAAATTCAAAGTAGGGAAGGAACATCTCTGATGTGTTGAAGAGACGACGAAGAAGTCGCAATTGAGGAAGGAAGACTTGAAAGCACAATGCAGATCAATCGGGACGTACTTTGAGCTTCACGGCACACTGCTATAAGAGGAGAGACAGGAGGGATGAAGGTTGAAATCCAAGTTGTAGATTTTGATGACGACGAGATTCGTGTAGAAGCCTGTCTCCAGGATTGCCTTCAAGTGGATTGAAGCTGACGGTCGCATCATGCACTCATATTATCCGCATGTTCTCATCACTGCATAGTCATTTGGGTTGTTGGCCAACGAACTCGGAGAAACTTCGAGCAATGGAATGAGGTCCTTGGATTCTCGCCCTGTATTTGTCCACAATCCTGCAGATTCCACGGAGCATTGACCAATTCCCATGCTGGAAAGGGCCTTTCTGACCTGAAGTTGCGATCAAAGCGAGTTCTACTCTATCTGGTAAACAGTGCACCGGTTTTCAAAGGTACTGGCTGGTATCAAAGCTGCAGAGCACACAATCTCTTCACCTTTCTTCGTGGAGTAGGCACAACGCTGGTCGGATCTCATTCTGTTTTTAACCTTTCACTTTTGGTTTTATCTGTGACCCAAGTAAAAACCAACGGAATGTCAAATTCGTCCAAGTATAGTTGATGCTTTAAGAGGATCTCCTGAGAATATCATTTGCACACTTTTCTAATTTCAATGATGTTCAGACATTCTTTTTACCATGACATAGCCGTCAGGCATAGCGTTGAGCGACAGACTAGGCTACCTTTACATTGTGGTATTCTGAAGCATGGTGCTCAAAATAACATGTGTTGTGTTTAATCTGCCTTTGTGGCTCACCGGTGCACTGTGCTCATGGAAATGAGTTTACTCGGAGATCTGGGATCGTGCATCCACTGACTGTGATGTGGCGCACTGTGCACTTGTAATGGAGGTCAGCATGAAATCTTAGATCGTGCAGCTATCATCCGGCTTTTTGGGAACCTTGCCAGCACTGTTCGTGTTTGGTCTAATGAGGTCAGGTTTCCTGCCGTTAGACTTGCGGCAGGACGAAACCAGACATCATCTGTTCGAAGACCAGATGGCCCCAATATCATTTCATACTGAACGTGTGACAAGCACTGCGAAGAGCTGAGGATCTTGAAGACAGGAATGCACATCGTACATGAGAAGTGGTCTTGTACCATTCAGAGAATCCGCTGTGTCTGGAACCAAGGAACGAATTCGTGAAGGCCAAGGAACCTCTGGATTGGCTTACTGCAGGTACGCCGGCTTCGGTTGAAGTGTCTATACAGGTTATGGATCTCCTGCTCTGAGCTCTCGGAAAGCAACATCCGCAAGACAAGAAGTTCTTACAGACTCGCAAGCAATCTTACACCAACACTTTTTGGAGATTCCGGATTCATGTGACAAAGATTGAAAGAGTGAGAAACGCTGAGGATATTGAACCATTTGAAACTGTTGTGGCTTATCAGACCGGACGTTAATCTAGTTTAAGACTTCCATACGTGTAGATTCGGTTGTTCTTATTAGGGAGGGGGGATCTGTCCTAGCCCAAAAGTCGTCCTTGGGGAGATATACTACAGTTTCTCACAATGATTCCCTCACAATGGGACTTGATACTCGCAGAAAAAAATGTCGTCTCATGCACAGAAGTAAACCAGATGGAAAGCAAATCCACCTCCATGAGATGAAGATAAAACCTTTAACCCAAGAGGAAAACCGGGAGTCCATGTATACATCCAACAGAGCAGGAGACAACCACAATTACCTCACTGTCTTGGAGGTATCTCAGCTCCGGGTAACAAAACCAAGTCATGGTCAGATTTGAGATCCTCCTGCCATGAAATAACCAACTTAAAGCTAGAAACTCTTTCCTTGGACTGGCAGTTCTTTGTCTGGTCCTTGTGTTTTGTGCTCTTTCCTGGCTATATGTTCCTCTGTGGGACGTGAGATTTCAATCCTCTTTCTAAAAAAAAACATCAAGAGTACACTGATCGAAGAAGCAGACTTAGTGTCATCCTTGGAATAGCGAACCTGAAATACGGACACAAGAGGTACGTATATATACTAGAAGGTGAGTTCCGTAGAACTACGGAGCTCACCTTGTCGTAGAAATACGGATCCCTCGTGCCCGTATATCACTCTCCCTCTCCAAGAACCGTTCAAACTCGTGACGGCTTGTCCCTTTGGGCTGTACCACCGTATGCATACGGGCATTTTCTACATGAAACAGCCCCTCAAGAAAAGACCATGGATGCAAGGATGGTGACGTCTCTCTGCTCTGGGAGAAAAATGTGCAACCTTAAAGCTTGGGTCTGTCATCGATGTAAGGGATGCTTACATGGACGACAGGCGTGAGAAAAACTCCAGTCTTATTCGAAAACGACATGGAGGAAATATTTGTAACGTCCATGATCGTGATGTGCACTTTAGAGACTTAGGTGTTACGTGGGAGGTACGGTACACTCACTTCCCGTTCGGTGATTGCCTTACAATAAACCACTAGCAAAGAAGATGGGGATATAACAATGAGAGCAACTTGTTGCGAGTCCATAACATGTGTCTCACTTTCTTTTGAAAGCAAGAGAAGACGACGAGGATGTGTTGAAGAAGACCTGTTGACTTCCTGACCTCCTGCCTATGGAGTAAGTTGTCTGAAGTTTGTTTAAAGTTATATACATTATTAGCATAAGTTAGAATTGTTTCCAAGATCTTGAAGAGGTGGTAAAATGCTCTTATATACTAAAAGACATATTCACGAAACAATCTCAACTCGCTTGGTTTCGTAGTTGCATACCTACGAAACCAAGCGATGTATGTAGCATAAAGTACAATTCAAATTTGAGTTAGATGCAAATTTCAATATTACTACTAGTTATTCTACTCACAAGAAAAGAAAAATCATTACAGGTTGTTAAATGTAGATAGGTTTATGTTTGATTGTCCGTATGATCGCACCTAGAAGCTCCTTGGGGGATGGAATAATGCACAGTAGCTAATGTCTCTGAACCAAAATACTGTTGATTAATCTAAGAGATTTATCTCTAATTACATTTGAATAGACTGAAACAGTAAAGTTATCGGGTACATGAAAGGCTTTGAAGAGACTGGTTTTTGAGACAGTTTTTAGTATATCGACTAACCATGGAGGCCTAAATGAAATCAGTAAGTGAAAGCTGATAGAATTGCATTATTATGGTTTCTAATGTCAGTTTGATGTGTGTTGACCTTGCGGTGTACTTGACTATAGAGGAACTTTGGTTAACATGGATTAGTGTTCAACTCTGATTACTTCTAAGTTCTTGGATGATAGCATACGTATATGCCAGTATTTGGAATGGATGAAGTTGGTAAGTGATGAGTGGATCTGATCACTATCTTTAGATATCGGAGGTGCAGGACATACGCGTCCATTCTATGATTTCAGAGAAAATTCTCCACACATTCAAGATACGATGAAATGAACTTGATCCCTCGGATGGAACGTTCAAAATTAGAAAAACACTTAGAAGCATCTCACACTATCCATATTCTGATAGAATTTGATGTGCTCCGGCTAGAACTCATAGCCGTCTCGATAAACAACTGCTTTCACACTCCAGAGGCCTGAGAGAAGCATGGATGACCTTTGCTCACGGAGTACGGGAAATATACACCTTCTTCAAGAGTGTTCCAAACTTTACTAGGATAGTAGTTAATGAACGCATTAATCGTTATCATTTTGCATTCAGTGATTCCGAGAGATTGATTTGTTCTGGACTATATTTCACCAGTACTCGACATGAGAGGTGAAGTCTGAGAGATGGCGATTTCAAACGTTTTCCTCTGGCCTTTGTTGACATGTCCATTGAAATTTCTATCCATCTATGAACGCCCATGTTGCTCTTCATTCCATGCGATCGCCCATACCCTTTACCTTTTTTGCAAGCTCATACATTCTAAAGAAATGCAACTCATTCCATTGAGGTTCAGATTGTTGACCTCAGATTAAGGTTATGGTTTCTTTGTCTAAAGCGGGCAAGGTACTTCCCTAGCTCCACCTACCATATCCATGCAATCATATCTGTTCAAATTTTAAAATGTTCTGCTTCCAGAATCAAAGATGCAGAATCCCAATTGTCATGATCACTTTCATGCGGCATGATTTTATTCGACTACTGTTTGTCTTTAATCTGGTGAGAATGACAGAAACCCATCGTAGTTTCCCTCAACCCACTTTTTTTCCTTCGCTTAACTTGTTGATACTGCAATATAGTCTACTCTCTCTCTCTCTCTCTCACCCCTACCTTCAGATAAAAACGATTACAACTGATCCTCACGTTAGTACTTCACCTGTCGATTGATGAGATGGGAAGCAAGCAAGAAAGACAGCCAATATGAAACTCACACGCATGACATTCTCTGTACTCAATCTTCATTTTTCTGCCAATTATTGACCTTGGTCTAGCTAGGCGATGTCGTGAGACATGGATTATCGGAGAAAGTCTTGAACGACTTTGGACGAGTCAAGAAATTGTGGCTGACTCGTACCAAAAAAGGCTATAAGAAGTCCCAGAACTCAGGAGTCTAATGAGAGGTACTGAAGCAATTACTGACTGACAAGCTGGCGGCGTTTATTCGGGTGAGATTATGTGATTAGAGTCCACTGCTGTGTCATTCTAGTCATACTAAACATCATAACCTGTCACTTCAGTGTGATTAGAGTTCACCGACCAGTGGCTCTTTAACGAACATAAGCTGATTCAGAACTTCGTAGGAGACAGTCTGATATACTTTCACGCATGTATCTGATTCTTTCGCTTTGGATACAGAGAATCAAGATACACCTCGTGCACTCTTGAAAGTTTCCTGAGCCGATGTCTTTCAAAACTTTCAGCTCTAGAAGAGGTGATAGCAACCAAATAATCTCTGTGGTCGTGTAAACCAAAAATTTTTCGATTTATCATTTGGCTAAGCACCCATTGGAACTTTACAGTTGCCCTTTCATTGAACTACTGAGTGAACATTCTGAATAACCATGAAGGACGATAGGAGCTCAAGAATTCGGAACCATCAAAGTTACCTTTCAGAAGCTAACATGTAGCAGTGATACATGTATATCTCACGAATCTCAACTAGAATATGAATTCATGGCATGGACTCGGAAGACAACATGATACACTGAGC